CCCGGTGCTTTGTCTCTGCATGGGAGCACATCGTCCCCTGCACTAGCACCAAAGAGGCAGAGTTGAACAGCTGATTGGCTACTACTAGAATTCAGATAAAATCTGCCAAATTGTGTATCTGAGCCCAAGTTCAAACTTTCACCTTGCAGCTGAGTGGAGTGTTGCAGTACCTGAGCTTGTGAAAGCAGGTATGCTGTGTGCGGTTTCGCCAGTGTGAGCATTCCATAACAGTGATTACATAGCCTGGGAATTTGCATATTTTAAATCCCTGGATTGTGAACTTGATTCAAAGCTTTCTCCTGAAGAGGAGACGGGAAAGGGAGAAACTACTGGTAGTGCAGTAGTTGGGCTATATCTTAAGCTGATGGCCGTGGGGGTGAAAGAATATAAGCCAAGTGAACAGTACTTGCCCCGAGCCGGTCTGCACTGACATCGGTATGTGTAGCAACAGGAGTAACTCAGGGGAACTCGTCTTGCCATCAGCAGTGGGTTTGTTAAAGTGAGGGCTGTAAGACTGAGTCCTTAAGCTAAGCTAATGAAAACAGTTTTAAGCTGTTTTTTATTTCTTGAGACTTAGTTATATAAATATATTATGTCTGCTGAGCTGTCTCCGATTGCTGTTCAACTGTATGACATTAGCTGGCAAAAATACTCTCTACTATTATCTGAACTTCTGTGCTCTGAAGCCTTGGGTGCAAGACAAACAGTGGAAATGAGTGTTTTAGTGAAGCTTGCAGGGCCGCCAACATTTTAAAGTACCTGTATGCCTTGAACAGACAAAGTTACTCTATGAGCCTTTGTAGTTTGCTTGCAACTGCTTCAAGAAGTTTGTTGCGTTTTCTTTGACGTTGCCCTTTTTCTTACCCAGGACAATGTGTGTGCTAGTGCTTCTTGAAAGAACTGGTAGCCATGAAAAAACCTAACTCGCATTGTATTTTCTGGGGGTTTTTTTTGAAGGTGAGAAACCTTACCACTGTGATTGGGAAGGCTGTGGATGGAAGTTTGCCCGGTCTGATGAACTTACACGTCACTACAGAAAACACACGGGCCACCGCCCTTTCCAGTGCCAGCGATGTGACAGAGCATTTTCCAGGTCGGACCACCTCGCCTTACACATGAAGAGGCACTTTTGAAGCAGTGGATCTTCCCCTAACTGCCGTAGAGAATCCAGTATTTACAGCATGAGGACTGTCTTCCACAAGATGGGGAGAACACAGTTTAAGCACTACAGATAATCAAGGTGAAGTCTTCCAAAGAGTGGAAAAGAGGGATAATTGCAAGCAGATGTTGCAACTTCTTTATATATATATATATATATATGCATTTAAAAGAAAAGAGAACCGAAAACATTGGGGCCAATGACTGGATCTTCTATCATTCCATTTGTAAATCCAACTTGAATTATTTCCGGACTACAAAATGCCAAGGAGTGACTGGAAGTCATGGATATCAGGGTTAAACAGACTGTGTGTAGTTCGGAGGGTGGGGATATTACACAGGGAAATAACATTCCCTTAATTTTCTTTCAATGCAATATTAGATGTAAATGTCATCTTGTACTTTCCTTTTTTCCTTCTAAAAGCCATTGTGATGTTAAAAAAGGAGGAAAAAATTCAGGTACAGAATTATATTTTAAAAGCTTATTTCATGGTGCTTAGTGACTGTTGGTTCTAGAGGTACCAAAACCAGGAAGCCAAAGTTCTCAAACTGCTGCATATCTGACAAGGAAATATTTTCACCTTCCGATCGCCAATTATGACCTAAATCAGGTAAATAAACCTGGTTTATTTTTTTTTAAAGAAAATGACTTTATGCAGACAGTCTAATGCACTGTGGTTTCGATGTGCAATAGTTTGTACAATGGTTTATTCCCAAATGTGCCTTAAGCAGAACAAATGTTTTCTATTTAGTTCTTTACATAATAAATATGTAATATAAATTTAAGCAAACTTCTATTTTGTATATTTGTAAACTACAACGTGAAAATGAACGTTCTGTTGGAATTTGTATTTTGCATAGTCAAGTGGAAAATAAGTTTTAAATAAACCTATAATATTTTATCTCCGTGGCTGCTCTGGTTTCTTCTGTGCACAGATATGTCCGAAGAAAGATTGAGTATTTGTTGGTGGTTGAGTTTGCTGAGATGGTCATGGTGGAGGCTTCTAGTTGCAAGACTGTGAAAGATAGGGTTGTATCTTTCCCTCTTTTTAGGGAAAGAAAATTTTTGCTCTGAATACTAAGCTACCACTTATCTCACCTGCATGATGAAACTGCGGTTTACCATTTTTAAGGTAACTCAAGTCTGAATTGTGTTAGAGGAAATTCATCTGCTGGGGACGCTGGACTTTGCATACTCAAAGATAACAAATTCTAGAGTGTGTTTTGGGGTCGTTCTGTTTTTTTTTTTTGTAGTGGTCTTTTCAGCAAGAAAAAATTTAGTGGTTTTCTTGGGCTTTTCAATCAGCTGGTATAACCACTTTCATGTGAATGAAGGAAAATCTGTGTAGTCTCATGAATAAACTTGAATTATGACTGTGTGCATAAAACAGCTTTTAACAATTAAATACACGGAGTGTCTTTTGAAGCCGGCTGTGTTCTTGGAGTTCAGTAATTCAGTAGTATCTGAAGAGCCTGATCTCCTGTAGGAAGCCTGGTACGCGTGTGTAACTCGGGCAGAGTGGCCATGCAGAGTCTACAAACCCGACAGCTGTAGGCTCAAGATGTGTTGCTCTGAGGTTCCCAGTGTACCTCCAATTGCTCTCACTCTGCTGCAGTTAAATGCAGCGAGTGTGCTGAATGCATTGGGTTGTTACCATTTTTGTTGTAGTTGTCCTTAGGGACCTCATTGCTCCAGTTTCTTTACAGGTGGGTAGCAATAAGATGATTTCACCGTGAATGATTGATGAATAGGACCTGTTTTTCTCACTGCTCTTTGTAAAGAGAAGAAAGAAATTATTCCTTTTCCACTGTTTTGAAATGTCAGCTAGGATTTGGAACATATGTAACATTCAATAAAGTTGTAGAAAACAAATTACAAGCCAGAGCCATTCATATTTTTGCATCAGTGAAGTGTGGCAATATCAAACGTTTTGGTTCTAAATGTGCCTTAGGCATGCTATTCAATTTCACATTTTGATGTATTCTTCATGTGGTGGCTGGTGCCATTTCTTTCTAAGTCCATGTAAGTAACAATGATGCAGAAAATACTTCTCACCTCTTATCTCCTGGGCATGCTTTGTTCAACTGAAAGCTACCTTTGTCGGTTTGGTTTACAGGTAACACAGGGAGTAGGGAATGTCTTGTTTGATTTGCAAATAGCAAGTATTTAAAGCTAAATTAAAGTTATGAGTCATCCTTTATCTGAAGTTTTTTTTCATGTTAAAAGTTTTTTACAAGTAAACCCATCATTTTTTACCTCCTCTGTTGCTCTCTGCCTGTGGATTTGGGATGAGAGATCTAAGGTCAGTGTTGCAACTGGCATGTACTATGTGCCTGAACTGTGTTGTCCCACGTCAGTAATGCTGGAGCATGCTTGGGTAGCTGCAGGGTTGCCTCTGTCTGCATGACTGTCATTCAGAACTTTTTATATCTGTGCAAAGTCTGCATCCTAACATATCTGTAAGTACTGAAATATGAAGATTTTGTCTGAGGAACTTGTTTCTTTTGCTTTTCAAGTGTTGTGTCATTATGCAGCCTTCAGAATTTTGCAAGATGCTCTGGCATTTCATAGTGCATTATCTGCTTCAGCCAGCTTCAGTTTCTGCTTGATGGTATAACAGACGCTATGTTTATAGTTGCATGAGCAATGGCATTCTTGAAACAGGGTTTTGCTCTCTTCTCCCACTTGATATTTTTTTTTTTTTTTTTTTTTTCCCCTGATCCTAGCCAAGCTGTCCTCATGTGTGCCTTTCTTTACAGACCTAAACGGGCATGGTTGTAGCTTGGTATTGAAAAAGAAATGTTGCTGTTCCTTTAACCATTTCCAAAATGCTACCTCTATACTTTTGGGACAGGAGCCAACACTCCAGTTTTGCTGTACAGCATGCAGCCCATGAGAGGCAGTCCTTGGTCTTAAGGAGGTCTCTCGGGGAAATACTGAAATGAGCAGTTGCACCACTTGTGAATAAGTTACAAAGAGCTAGAAGCAGCATATTGTGTTCACCACCTGTTTCATTTTGTCTGGGATCCTAGCATTGCACTTAACTGCAAAACTGTACACAGATGCAGCAGAACAATACGTGTACCAAAAAGCATATCTCACAAAATATGTAAGTCACCAAGCAGTCTTGTAAGGGTGTCTTGAAAAATGAAATTCATTTGGCATTAATAAAGCTATATTCATGTACTACTTTGCTCAGGCTGTGGCATCTAAAAACAGAATTTGAGGTTGCTTGGGGTGGCCTTTCTGACATGAGGTGAGCAGCTCCAGAGGTACCCCAGAGCACTGTTTTAGTTACTAAAGGGAAAAGCTCTTGTGGCAGAGGATGATCTCTGCAATGAAACTACAGCCATCCTTAATCCTACTCACCCCAGCCCAAATCTCTCTTGAGTACGCTTAACATGAAGATGGAGCTGTTTAAAACAAGATGGCACATGTCTGCCTACCAAGAGCCAAGTATTCAAAAGTGTCATCAGAGTAGAAATCTCAGAGCTGCAGCATTTCTGTGCACTTGTTTGCTTCACACCACAGGCTGGAAATCTGGGCACCTTGGACTTGCTTGTTGAGTGTAATCCAGTACAAAAACCTTCAGCTTTCCCCTCTTGTATGAAGATGTACTTTTAGGAGACCAGAGCCTGCCCCTGCTGAAATTAACTGTGAATCTCTCAAGGATTTATATTAACTGATATGAATCAGTGAATTTCATTCTCCTTCTCTTTAATAAGGGGAGATCAGAGACTCCCGTGGTTAATCACCCCGAGTGCTAACGGTTCAACTGAATTAGTTTACACAGGTTTCATATGGGAGTGTGCTAGAGGTTAGAGCTTGCCTGCTTCCACTGAAGTCCCTGGCGAACACTTTAAAAGCATTTAAGGGCGAGAACGTCCAAACTAACCCCACTGCAAACTCTCTTCCTCCCTGGGCTTCCCTCCTTCCTGAGTGTGATTTGAGTTGTGTGCTCTAGGAGAGCAGCACAGTATAAATGGGTTACAAATGTGGACAAACAGACCAGTAGTTGCACCACAGGGCTCTGGCAAGATTCTGGATGTGGTAGGAGTGCTGTTTGGAAGAAGCAAACTCAAGATGGGGCGAGCAAAATTCACTTGCAGAGGAAGAGGAACACCACTGCCACCACATGTTGACTTGTCCTTGCCAGGAGAGCTTGCCAGATTAAATACGTGTGTGTAGGCTCAATGGATATGTCTTTGGAGACCAAGGAGATGAGTATGTACATAAAAAAGGGGAAGGCCAATCATTCACCAAAATGTAATTGAGGTCACATTGGCTTGGCGCCACAGGGTAACACACCCACATTCCCCTGTCTGCTGTACACCCAGATGACTCACGTTTCGTCTGCCCTTCACTGCTGCTGTGACTGATGGGGGGACGTTTTCACTGCTGCTGAGGAGATTGACACCAAGTGCAGAAGCCGTCTCTGTGGCATGGAAGTGGGTGGTGGTGGTGGTGTTTTCACGGCCTTGTTCTCCACCCTGGCTGCGTATAGGTATCTGTTAGTCTCCTTTTCACCTTTGGATGCTTACCTGTGAGCCCTTAAGGCTAGAACCTTAATGGTGTGAAAGACAGGAGGGGTGAAAGTGGCTTATGTGTTAATAATGTTTATTCTGTATTTAGAGGATGTATACCCAGAGTTTTGCAGAAGACAAGCAGCCTTCGTACCTGCTCACAAGAGGTGTTAGACGGATGGACCTTTTCCATTCGATGATGCTTTCCAGGCTTTTGGAGCTGTGACTCCTTTTGTAACTGAAATGGTGATTTTCACATGGACCTCATCAGCTCAGGGTCAGCCTTGTGACATGCTTACTATTAAGAAGATTTAGGGAACACACCAAGCTCCTTTCACTTTGAAGCTTGGGTGAGCAGAAGGGTAATCATGTGCTGCTATCATCGCAGCCATCTTACTGCAACCTTGAAAAGTTTTGCATGGTTTTGCTTTGGGTACAGTGTGCCTGTTTATCAAGTACAAGCTAAGGCTTGCTTAAATCTTACCATTCAAGTTCTCTGCTATTAAACTTTGAGGCTTTGTTCGACAAAATGATACAGTTTCCCTGTATGGGTTGGCTGAAAACCCTTCATTTGAGAAACAGATATCCCACAATTATTCAGAATTTATCCCTTGCTGCCATAGCAGTTGGAAATGGTTCAATAGGCAACGTTGCACCATCAGCACACAGGGGTTTATTTACCGGGAGCGTCCTCAGTGGTGCTCAGTGCCTGTGCACATCCTAGTGTTGATGCCTTCATGGTGAACAGGGGCAGAATGTCAGATCTGCTTTGTCCTCCCACCCCTAGAAAGGCATGGAAAGGCTATCCAAAATTGATTGCCTGGGGAAGTGAGCTTGCAGCTGCCACTTGGAAAAACTTTCCTTCCTAGGCTTTTGCCACTGGCCTCCCTGACTCCACCATGTATTTCCTGCCATGTAGAAACACTGCAGAGAGGCCTTTGCTCACTTGTATGAGAAACTGTTTCTCAAGGTTCCTGCGTGAGTCTGATTTGCACATCAGGCCTCTGGAAGGGCACCACAGCATCAGTGTCATTTGATGTCAGGGTCTCACCTGGAGTCTTCCAGCACAAGATATGTCCTATCATCCATCATCATTATGTTCCTCTTTTTTGGATAAAATTGCATATTGTACATTAATATGTTCATAAACGGCTAGGGGCAATATTGACGGTGATTACAGGCGCATGTTGGAATTTACTTTCTAAGCTCTGGACGAGGATTTATTCTGTGTTTAGGCTCTAAGCACACTGAGTCTGTAATGCTGTTGGCTACTCAAGGAGGCTACCCAAAGGGCTGCATTTTGCCTTGCACTAGGGTGTACTAGCTTTGGTTGTCTTTTCTTAGTTTCTGCATCACACTGCTTCAGTCACATGCT